CTTCATGTATTAAAGTTCAATAAACTTTGCACCGCAGCCAAAAAACCAAAAACGGCAACCACAACAATTGATTAATTAATGAATTATTTGTTAAACATGCAGCAATCAAAAATGTGTTTTTCACATTCTATGTTTGTGCATTAGTCAAGAATTAATTGGGAAAGTTTTAAAATGCATCGAAGATGTACGAGTCTTACTAATACAAATTATAATTTTTATAAATTATACCGTACTTTCTATTAACTTAGTAAAACTAAGATGTAATATCAATTAAATTATGGTATTCTTTCAAGATTAGATCTTTGAACTTTAAAGCACAAAGAATATTTTTTGAAATCGAATTATTAATTGTGGTTGTGGCGGTCCAAGATTTAAGGTACTACTCTCACCGGCTTATAAAATCTGATTTAATAATCTATTTTCATCCAAAAAAATTTGTTTCTAATCTCCATACTTATGTATTCTTATTTGAATAAGATCAATAAGTTGGCATGCTTAGAAATGGAAAGATTTAAACTGGCATAGGAATCCTGTTATTGATTTCGATTTTCAATTCTTAGGCAACAAAGAAGATATAAGAATTTTGTTGGTTAATGAATTTTCAATGAAATATGTAATGTAAAAAAATGTAAATATAATTTATCTGCCCTGAAATAAAAAACAACACAATTGAAAAAAATTGGAAAATAAAAATTTTTATTTAATGCTGTAAGAATCAGTTGACTACATCGTATAGATCATAAGGAACAAAATGAAAAAATGAATGAAACATATTTAAAACCTTCGTTATTTGATATTTTTTTAGAATTTCTAAAACGTGCATTTTAAATATCAAGAACAGAATTGAAAATCAATAGTAAATTAATAGGGAAAGCAACCAACCTTTGTTGTATAACTCAACATTTTTATGTTTCTCATGATTCCAAAAGTCGTATTATAGCTGCAGGGTATATAAATGACGGCTTGCGGAAGTTTGCTTTCTCCCTTTTTAAGATTTCATGAATTTAGAAATGTCAGTCAAAAATTGTTTCTTTCTAAATGTATTTTCTGTAGAGATTGTAACGAAAAGCTATTCTGCTCACATTGAGATACACATATATTCGCTTTTCTGGAGGAAGTCTAAACATTTGCACTTCACACACTTGTTAGAATCCAAACAAGATGCAGCCGGCGAATAGAGATAGAATAAGAAGGGAGGCGGGCGGGCACAGCTGGATGGTTTATCGCAGCTGCTTGAGCAGTTCCTCCACAGTGCACTCGAATGCCCTTCATGACAGCCACCCCAACACCCCACCTCCCCGCCAACCGCCCCTCCAGGCCCACCCCCACGCCCTTTGTCATACTTTTCGCTCGAACTGTGTCAATGGCCTTGAAATTGTTTTGCGCCTTAGTTGTTGCTGCAGCTACGAGATTAGTGGAATTATTGCGCTCTCAAAGATCTTAGAATGCCAGAAGGAAATGCATATAGTTCACATAATGCTTGACATGCTTTTCGAACTCTTTGCTTATTTTTAAGTGTAATTGGTGCAAAAGTTTATAATAATTGTTATATGATTCTTGCCGTATTGCCTGAATACTATTTCGTTTTGCCCACATCAAAGAAATAATTTTTAATGAAATTATGACATTTTGGATACTTTTACAATTAGACTGCTAACAAAAATAAGCATTACTTAAAGAGTAAAGCTCTTTTATTTAATAATTATATTTTACAAGTGATTTTTAGTCATCTAATTATATTTAATCAAACATTTAATTTGTAATGAATTTTGGAAACTTCTACAATTAGACTGCTAACAAAAGTAAGCATTATTTAAAGAGTAAGCAGATATTTTAGTTACAAATTATTATTTAAGAAAAATATACTAGATCTGGGTACATAGTTTTTAAAACAGAACAAATGTTTTCCGATATCCATAAAAACCGTGTAAGCATTGATCTGCCTTAGGCTTAAATACCATTAAAAATATTGAAACGATTTTGCGATTAAATTATTTTTCCTTAAAAAAGCTATACTTCTCGCTTTTTAAAATAAAGTATTGTAGTTCAAAGACTGTTATTTATTTAATATCAGCATTGAAAGCTTCGAGCAATTCCCCTTTTTTTCCACAAAGCAGGAAATGCTCGCGCTTCGATTCTTTCTACTATTTCCTCTTCGTCTTCGCAGTGTGGTTTCTCATTGTCAGTTCTCTGGGGCCAAGTGAATTTTTTTATGGTCGCGGGACAGGAAAAGATTGTGCCACAAGGTCAGCCAAAGTAAACCGCATTGTTGTTTTCGCTTTTTTCTTGCCACTAATTTATAACTGAGATGATGCGCAGAGATGTTAGTTAACGATAATGATTTCTAGGTATTCTTACATCGTGATGTGCTAATGTGCGGGCAAAGTCAAATGGAAATGTATCGAGTGGGTGGTTGATATAAAATCGTCATACTTATCAAAGAAGTCATAACATAATATAAATGGACTAAGATGTAATATAATTGTATTTGAATAATATATAAAAATTCAGTCTACGGAGCAGACCACTCATTCCACCTTGGTTCGATGACTTAACTAAGCCTTTGACTCCACTGACTGGCCATAAAAAAAAGCACTTCCAAAGTGCAGCAGCAGCAAAAGCAGCTGAAACAAGACTTTAGGACCGAACAAGTGTTAATTTGTGGCCACATCAACCCGAGATCTTGTTGAACCCAGCAACCCTGAAAACAGTCCTCCAGCAAGTGCAAAACAAAAATAAAGCAGCAAAATATTAAGAGATTAATACGAGACAAGCAAATGCAAAATTCCAACCATAAACAAGTTCAGCAGGGAGTGCAATAAAACCGGGAAGAAATAAAGTCAAGATTCTGGAATCGAACCGGGAAATAAGATCTAAATACAACGGATACAATGATGAGCACCAAAATAAAATGTCTATTTTGCTAAGAGTTAAATAAAATTTAAACAAGACATCATAAATTGGAAAATTAATTTGTGTGCTTAAGATTTATAAGACTAAATCCAGACTAACAGAGTTTCTCATACACAGAAACACAAATTATTCAACGAACTTCTGTGAGAAATTAACCGAAATAATATGGTACCCTGTATTTTCTGTATTTAAGAATACCCTTCCCAAAGAAAATTTAAAAATTAAATTTAAATGGTTTAGCGAAAACTGAAGTTATACAGAAAACGAAGGGAACTACTTTTTCACATAAAAACAAGGTTACGAATTTGTAGACCCGTTACTCAAGGATTTAAAGGGTTATTATATTCGTTGAAAAGTATGTCGAAGGGAGTATTTTCGTATCTTAAAGTATATACATCTTCATCAGGATTATCTTTCCGTGTGTTTTTGTTTGTATCAATGACGAAATATTTCCCAATTTTTTGACCAGAATTCTGTGGCACCTAACACCCCAACATATACAAAAAATCTATAAGTTATATAAAGTTTGAAAGTTATATTATATAAAAATATTACGCCTACGTGGATTGGATTGAGTAAGGGGTATCTCATTGTCGGGTAACTCGGCTAAAACGTTTTTGTTGTTGCTTATTGCATTCCAGTTTTCCTCCAAAATTTCGTTAGCTGCATGACATAAAGGGGTTATAAATAAAAACAAGATACAAAACCATATTCCACATGACATTATCAAAAAGCCTCGCTTTGTGTTCTTGCCAGAGTCTTGAGGCAATTAGGCCGCAATAACTCGACGAAACAAAACTTGAACTTCAGCCTGCTGGCACCTTGAGCCTGTGTGCTTGTGTGATATCTGGTAATTGCCAGCATCAATTTCATTACTCATGCGCCGCGTTGTCGCTGTGGCCGCCGAGTGCCGCGTGCGGTTAGCCTTAGGTCTGGGGGATCGAGAAAAACTAATGCTCGGCGTGTGACATTGTAAGAAAATGCAGTTGCACTTGATGCTGCCAACTAAAGATGCGAGTCGCAGCTTGCGATGAGTTGACATGAGAGGAAAACGTTTAGCTGACATCAAATGCATTTTTATTTTGCTGCCACGATTTCCAGTTCACCATGAAGCGGGACGCAGCTGGCTCAGAGACTCACGGTCGCGGTTTTGAACCATTTTAGCCCAGAGCAGGAGCGCGAGAGCAGGCCAAAACCCGTTGTGCAACATTTAGTGGTCGCCGCTTTTGGCCAGACGGATGACGGCCAGCAACCTTGACCCGGTTCTACTTCTAGCTCGGAGCCTGGCCGCCTTCTAACCTCCATTCGGGCTTGACAACTGGCCTTCCAGATACTCCCAGTGGGTTTGGCTTTCAGACAGACACAGAACCTAATTAGCATTTCCGCACGTTCGCCTTAGCGGTTGTCGGTGTGGGGTTTCCACAAGGAGACTGTTGCTCCTTGGGAAACCTAATTAAAAGTGCTCCTTGAACTCGCCGCCTGAAAGGCTTCAACACGGATTAATGCCTCCGGTTGCCAGCTTCCAGTTAACACTTTAAGTCTTCCGTCAGCAAGTCAAGAAGATGGCGGCGGCAGCAAGAGCCTTTAGCCATCAAGATGCTAAAGTTTTCAATTAGACAATTTTCTCATTTACATTTCAAATGGATTCCTTGCGCCCGTTTGGCTCTATCTTAATTGGTTTTTATGGCTGAGTTTTGGCCAGGGAATGAATACAGTTGATACTGTTCTGGCTGTGCAATATATTAGAGTGGAAAGGTGTGTAGCTGGAAAATTATTTATTTCCCTTTAATTTATAAAAATAAATGTATAAAGGAATTTTAAAGGGTTAAAAAACGAATTATAGTTTAAGTTGACATGTTTATTAGACTTCTAGTAGCTCTTTATTTTCAAACTTTTACTGAGCTGGAAACCGACAGCTCAAACCACCCTGGCTTCAACGTACCACAACCAACTGTTGCCTTTTACCGACAAAAAGCGTTTCCTTGACACTCGAAGCAAAACAAATAAAGGTCGCCATGGTAATACCGGCAAGCGACCATAACAAAGCGCTTTCAAGTAAATTCTTCATTTACTAACGAAGTGCTTAGCGAAAATGTTGCATCAGGGAATTATTCTGCGTGAGGGACATGTCACCAGGACAATATACAATCTGGTAAGCCGTAACATAATTATAAATAAAGCACACACACTCAAGGTCCTTGTTCCCAAGATCAAAGACAAACGCTACGAGGATGTGATCGAGTGCATAACCAATTTCGGTGAGGCGGCCAACACGAGGGCGGGGCTTTCCACCCTGGGCCATTGCTACTACCACGCCCAGAAATACGAGGAGGCGGCCACCTGCTACGAGCAGCTCTGCCAACTGGCGCCCAAGGAAGCCAAGTACAGGTCCGTTTAAAAACACCTACCAACTGGGGACATTTTTTAAGGGTTTTTTAGTTTTCCACCAAAACGTTATGGGGAAGAAAATGTTGTATATATGTACACTGATGGGAAATTCTTCATTTAGGACCCATTTAAAATTTAACAGTGTGTCTTAAAGTTGAGGATGTTGTTCTTGATCCTATAATTGCTTTCTCTTAACGAGAAATCGATACCGCTCTACAGCGAGTCCTATAGGTTGCTGAGTTTTTTTTCCAGACTCTTCATAATATTTTATTTTCATGGTTTTTCTCTTACTTACTAGAAGCCCAAATAGTCTACTGCCCACAGTTTTATCTAAATACTTGCGGTTCTTAATTCGGTTGATGGAAAAGACGACTGAGTTTAAATTTGAAATAAGAAAAAAAATCGTATAAAAAAACAAAAATCATTTGTCAATTCAAGATGTTTTTAAGTCAAGACCAATTTTCTTGATTTTAGAATGTTGGACTAGAATGATTCAAGTCCATTTTACCTTGGCGCTAGAAAATCTGACAACATTTTGTGTTGATTTAAAGAACATTTTCATGATTTTAAATTATTATTTCTTTTCTGTGTAGTAAGCTCAAATCAGTGATATAAATATTAACTATTATTTCGCATGTATTGCTATAACTCCAAGCTAAGGTGTAAATATATCTTTCAACTCACAAATTGTGACATTTTTACAAACTCGTTAACGAGCTAATCCCTTTCAGATTCTACTACGCCCAGTCTCTGTATCAGGCTGGCATCTTTGCCGAGGCTCTGCGGGTGCTCAAGCAAATTGGAGATCAGGAGGATGTGCTCCGGGAGCACTGTCTCCAGCTGCAGAGTGCGATCCTCTACTCCAGCGAGGACTTTGCGGGGGCGCAGAGCCTACTAAATCAGCGGGCAGGAGGCACTGCGGATACCCTCAATGACGAGGGATGTCTACTGTTCCAGGCGGATCAGCACGAGGCAGCGGTGCAGCGATTCCAGGCGGCCCTTCAGGTGGGCGGCTTCAATCCACTGGTGGCCTACAATGTGGCCCTGGCCCATTTCCAGAGGAAACAGCGGGCTCAAGCTCTGGACTATACCTCCGAGATTGTGGAGAGAGGGATGCGAAACCATCCCGAACTGGGCATTGGCGCCCAAGTGGACATTCCGGATGGCGGTGCCAGGAGCGTGGGCAACCCCATCACCATGGCCATCTCGGGCATTACCCAAGCACTTAACCTAAAGGCAGCCCTGGAGTTTCAGGACGGCAATGAGGAGGCAGCCAGGGACGCGCTCCTGGACCTTCCACCTCGAGCGGAGAGCGAACTGGATCCGGTCACGTTGCACAACATGGCTTTAACCGATGTCCAGGGCCCGGTGGCTGGTCTCAGGAAGCTGGCCTTTCTCCTGGAGCTGGGTGCTCCCTCCTGCCCCAAGGAAACCTTCGCCAACATTCTGCTGATCTGCTGCAAGCACGAGCTATACGAAACGGCTGCCGATATCCTGGCGGAGCACACGGACCTCACCTACAAGTATCTGTCGCAGTATCTCTACGAGCTTCTGGATGCCCTGATAACCGCACAAACCAGTGCCGAGTTGGCCGAGAAGAAGCTGGGCACTCTGGCCTCCAGTCTGGCCGGTAAGTTGCGCAGCCTGGCCGCCAAGGTGCAGGAAGTGAGGGCCACCAATGAGCAGCAGGCACTCAGGGATGCGCTTAAGGACTACGAACAGGCACTGGAACTGTAAGACTAACTTAAGTTACGTAAAATATTTTTTTATTTTCAAGATTTTATTTCTCAGATGGGTTTATTGTAACACCCTAAAACTATTTCCTTAAGAAAGTTATCCCGTGTGAATTATAAAACTAAAAAAAAGTGATAAAAAGATTATATATCGGACACCACGATTCTAGCTAATTGAATGGATCCCAAATCAAAAAAAAAATCATTTTAATCTGACTTATCTGGCTATCGCTTAAATTATATAACTTACTATAACTTAAATTATTCTAGGATTCCTACTGAATATTTCCTTTAAGATTTCGGTCCGTCTAAAAAAATTGTTTCAAGAAAAACGCGTTTTAAAAATCAAGTACGCGCGTTTACACCTTTTTGACACCGTCGAGTATTGAAAAATCGCTTTAATAATATAGAATATATGTGAAACGTTTTTAATCTATCACAAGGGAAATCCCCTTTAACCATTCCTTATACTTTTCTAGTATTAAATTTAAATTTAAGTTCTAATGTTAAGTTTTATAGATTTGTTTTTAAAGTTAATTCTTTCAAATACCCTTCCTCATCTTACATAGTTATCTGCCTGTGGTGATGGCTCGAGCCTGGATTTCCTGGCGCGATGATGACTTTGTGGGTGCCGAGAGGGAATTCCATTCGAGTGCGGAGTTCTGTTCGGAGAACTCCATTTGGCGATTGAATGCAGGACATGTGCTCTTCATGCAGGGCGACAAATACAACGAGGCGGCTGCCTTTTACGAACCCATCGTGCGGCAGCACTCTGATGATGTGAGATTAAACCATTCAAGTCGTACCCACAGATATTTCCAATTTGAATGCCCGGTATTTGAAACCAAACACGGGTATACTATACTACTACTTTAACAGCGCAGGTGTACATACATAAGTGCTAAATAAGTGTAGCCGTCCTTATACAAGATTTATTATATTTATTTAACTATGTTCTCAGAGACTAGATTAAAACAATTTATTTTGATTAATCATACCTTTCACAAATTCCAATTAGCAACTTAAAAAAAAATGTATTTTCCAAAGCTTATGTTTAGGCCTTATATACACCATGTGAGAATTTCAAGAATGTAAAATAATTTATTCGGCTTAATCCATCACATACTACCAAATATGATGATTAAAATAAGACAATATATTTTTTCCAAGCTTTTGACAGCACCATTAGAGAAACTCAGTTCATGTAAACTGAAGAATTAATGAGCATATTTTGCATCAGTAACGGGTATCAAAGGGTCGGTTCCCCGACCATCCCACTCTCGGCCAGCCCCAATTATAATCCACAATCTACAATCCCTTATCCCAACCAGATCATGTCCGTTTCGGCAGCGGTGCTGGCCAACCTGTGTGTTTCCTACATCATGACATTCCAGAACGAGGAGGCCGAGGAGCTGATGCGCAAGGTGGAGAAGGCGGAGGAGCTGAAGGGCAACCTGGGCAAGCAGTACCACCACCTGTGCATTGTCAATCTGGTGGTGGGCACTCTGTACTGTGCCAAGTCCAACTACGAGTTCGGTCTCTCCCGCATCGCCCACGCCCTGGAGGGGGGGTCGGGGAACAGGCTGTATGCCGACACCTGGCTGCACGTGAAGCGCTGTATCCTGGGCCTCCTCACCGGCATGGCCAAGCAGAACATCATCCTGACATATGCCACCGTGCAGGAGGTCCTCAACTTTCTGCGATTTTGCGAAGCCTACGGGCTCTTCACCCCGGCCAACATCTTTGCAGCCACCGAACAGGTGCCGGAGGAGCCCCTGACCATCGGACTGGAGGCCAGGAAGTTGCGACTGCTGATGATTAGGCTGAGCGAATATGATAGTTTGTAGATTGAGCATCAATTATTTGTTAAATGAGTGCACTGAAAAATAAATGAAAATTTAAATATATAATTAACAGAAATGCTTAGCATTAAAAAGAAAACTTTTTTTCAGAAAATGTAGGTGGCACAATTACGTATTGTTGATTCAAATTATGCATGTTTAGCCTCTTTCACAAGAGTGGAACTTAAACCGATCGTCCGTGCGAGACAGAGATAGACACAGTGTTCGGTTGACCATGAGTTTCGCACAAGATTAAATGAGACATATATAGGATATAATAATTGTGGAACTTAACTTAGAGTTTGTATGTATAATAGGATCCTTAGTACCCTGCAGTTCCGAAATTCATCACTACAAAAATTCATCACTGTTTAATCAGCAGCGGACTGCGACGCCGGCAGAGCCAAAGGCAAAGTCGGCAGAGCCGAGAGCGACGCAGGCAGAGCCGAAACTCTCAGTCCCCGATCGTAGGCAACGCAGAAAAATTTCCATCTCCCTCTCTTACTCCTTCTCTCTCCCCATAAAATGAGCTGAGAGGTGGAGGACAATGTATTAAAATCAGATCGACCTTTATACACCCTTGAAAATAAATTAGCATAATTATACCCTTGCAGAGGGTATTATAATTTTGGTCAAAAGTGTGCAACGCAGTGAAGGAGACATCTCCGACCCTATAAAGTATATATATTCTTGATCAGGATCACCTCCTGAGTTGATATAGCCATGTCCGTCTGTCCGTCTGTTAAGGCGAAGCTTATAATAAATCTGTTGGGCCAGCATAAACTAAGCTGGACTTGGCCGGCGGCAAAACAAAAAACGCAGTAAGTTTTTATTTTTTTAATAATTTTTCTATTTCAGATATACTTGGTCAGGAAGAGCCAGTACATAAAGCACGAAGTCAAAAAAAGGGCACGGAAACCGAAACATCCTCAACACCTCCGGGACAACTGAAAACGTACATATGTAGATTGAATTAAGTTAAATTAATTAGTTATATGTAATGAAATAAATGAAATAATAATGAAATATTGTAATAAAATAAAAAATGAAATTTATATGAAAATTTACTGAATGAATTTTACTGATGAAAAAAAAGCGATGAAAAAGCGATGAAAATGCGATGAAAATGAGATGAAAAAGCGATGAATTACTGATTAAAGAGTGATGAATTACTGATGAAAATGTGATGAATTCATCACTCTTTAATCAGTAATTCATCACTCGTTAATCACTATTTCATCGCATTTTAATCACTCGTTCATCGCATGTTCATCAGTAAACGCTGTTCAAAGAGTGATGAATTACTGATTAAAGAGTGATGAAAAACTGAAAAAGAGTGATGAATTACTGATTAAAGAGTGATGAATTTTTCACTGATTAACTCCTAGGACATGCCAATGTTAAATTCATCACTAATTTGTATGAAGTTTCATCGCCGATTAATCAGCAGTGATGAATTTTTGGTGATGAAAAAGCGATTAAAAGGTGATGAACGGTACTGCAGGGTACTTAACTGTAGTATGTGTATGTAAAGAAATAAGAAGACACCGACTTACACGCAACCATTTGTGCTTGAAAAAAAAACAATAAAATAGAGGTGTGTTTGGGAATTATGCTACAATTTAAAAGCTTTTTGATATACTTTTTGATATACAACCCATATTTTTCTCAATTTTCCCCAGGATAAAAACCAAGACCAGGGTTTTGTGACAGCTGGGAATGCTTAGAAGGACCTCTAGACAATCTGAATAGGCAAAATAAGGTGGATAATAAATATAAATTACGAGTGGAAGAGCAGAAATCTGTCATAAATCACATAAATGGCTGATTTTCATCAGGCAGGTTAGCGCTACCAGGAAGTTGATTGTATGCCAATCTATTGACAAAGAACCCGAGGAGCACGTGCTAACCGGGGTGAACTGCCTTCCCATTTATCCAGTGTTTCCCACCCCATAAACGTTCTGCTCGGCGGGCACGTGAGCACTCACGCGTTCGATTTGACAACGTGTTTATGTCGCAGCTCAATTCCGCATTGACAGCCTCATCGACATCATCATCATCATCATCGTCATCAATGAGACAACAAAAAAGAAGAAAAAAGATAGCTCGACTTCGAGATACTTTGCAAAGCCCATTTGGAAAATAAATGGCCTACCTCTAGGCGATTTTTCAACTGACAGGGGTTGAATTTAAAATCAAATAGGCCACGAAGACTGAAAACAGTCAAGTGAATAAAAAAAACCAATTTATTGTGATCTTTATAATATTTTTAGGAGTAGGTGTTTTTAGTTAGAGTAGTTAGTGACCATTAAGGTTTTATCAGATGACAAGTCATTTACCATAGAACTTTACATTTACATTAAACTTTGTTTTAATTTGTGAATTTTTTGTTTTTTCTACCATTATTCCGAGTAACGTAAATTCTCGTTCAATATGAGGTAGGAAAATGGCGAAAAAGTCCTAACAAGCACTTTAAGCTGCTACTGGCTCCTGTGGCATGCCCATCCTTTCGCCACTCTCCTCCCCCTCCCCTGCCCCATTTCCATCACCATCAGCATTGATGTTGTCATTATACTCATCGACATCCTCCTTGTCATTACGCGACGCATACGAAAAAAGAGGAGGAGCATATACAACATGAAAACACTTGTCATTAACACAAACAGACAGAAACACTCGCCCCACACAAACCAGCAAAAACTCGCAGTTTTATACACAGACTTGGGGCTAAAGAATGGCGCCTGCATCGCTCCACAAAGGAAGATAGTAACACCTTTTTGCGATGGAATTTGGTTATACCCTGACGGAAAAGGGAGTATTTAGACCTTGGCTGGAGATGATGGGTTGTTATGGGGATATAATACTTAGGCAACATAATTATGGATGATTATGGATGGTGATAATGAAATTATAAATTATTAGATACTTATAAATCGAAAATCAATTTTTTTTTTTAGAAAATCTGGTTAAAGTGTTTTTTGTTGATATATTATGTGGAATGAAGATTATTTAATACCAATGAATTACATGTGTGTGTACTTAGAGAATTTAGAGATTTTTTTTGATATTATGACACACTATTTTGTAGTATATCTTCTGCAGTAGTTCACATACTTATGTATCTATCGAACAGTAAAATGAAAGGTTTATTTAACATATTTTATTATTTGTTGTTGGGAAAGCGATTTGCATTCCCATCAAAGCCATTTCCATTAATATAAATATACCCAAAAAGTATTTCGGTGACGATACGCTTAATAAACGAATTTTAGTTTGACTTTTTTAGCTCTCGTTTTTTTTCTCCGTTGGCGTCAAGTGTTGCTCATTTTATTTTACTTTATAAAGTTTGTTGTTTGTTGCTTGTTAGCCGCCTTTTGTTGATGCCTGCTGCCTGCCTCGTTCATCCTTAATCCTTCTTCTGTTTCGGTCCAATTTCAATTCAGTCTGCCTCCAGTAAATTGTGCATTTCAACTTTGCCTTAATACTTCATGACCCCCCATTTTCCTTTAAGCCCCCGAGTGACGTGGCAATTGTTAATATGCCTTTTAAGCGGTTTTCCTCTTGAGTGCCATGCAAAAGTAAAGTTGGCTAGAATTCGCCACTAAATTTTGCCTGCCACTCAAATTGATTTTCCAGGCCATTTAAATCAGAGACCCACAAGCACATAAATATGTATTTTTTAAGTGTCCTGGCTAACGGCTTCAATGGTGTGTCTGTTTGATCCTGTCATCGCCATTGTGTTGGGCTCAAACCAAAATGAACGTGAAACTGAGAAAATCCGAAATTTTTACACCCTTTACATCGGAAAATGTAAGTAGGCATGTTTATGTAATGAAAAGTCTAAGGCTTGGAGGAAATAAAGAAGGTTTACACTTTATTCAATGAAAACTGGGCCAGAATGGTAAGGAGCAATACGTAGAGGTTTGAAAGAAAGAGTTTTTCTTTAGCATTCAACGTCTCAAAAATATTTTTGTAAAATGTTAAATCTGCACTTTGGAAATGAAAGCTTATGCCTAAAACGACAATTTCGGCCTATGTGCAATGGCTGTGCAAAAACTAGTAACTTTTTAAAGGATTTTCCTTCTTCTGTAAAGAAATAAAATGCTTAATCCTCATGGATAGGTCTTAATTTAACTTTTAAAACATCAGTTTTAAAACATCATGCTTTCCAAATTTATAATGCACTTTGAAAGCGTATTTAACCATTTTTATAAACCGCATTCAAGTCAAAAATCAATATGGCTTTGTGGTTGTTCCCGATGAGGTTTTTGTTGTCTTTGTTGACCGTCGGAATTTTGCGGGAAGAATTGTTGCACGTCAATAAGAGTGTGTGTGTTTGTCAACTAATAAAAAAATTGAATATAAAAATAAATATTTTCTCTAAATAAGAAGTTGTGTATTCTATATTTAAAATAAATATAAAAAAAGAATGATTTAAGCAAAAATATTGGAATTGATATGGTAATTAAAAGATTTATATATTTATTTATTATTTATTTTAAAATAAAATTAAATTACTATAAAAGGCGAACTTCCACCTTCAAAAATGTATTTTGCTTATATTTCTCCGCTATTAAATTAACTATGCTCATTCAAAATATAAAATCTAATTTTATATTTGTATATTTTAAATGACTAAAAACGGCTATGAACACATTTTAGAGTAAAAATATTTAAATTAAATATAAAATACTTTGATTTACTACGTTATTTACATGTATATATACTAACAAAAAGTGGTGGATTTTTACATATACGATAAATTATGATCATAACATACATTACAGTCATATCTACGAAAAACAACTTATAGCAACTTTGATTATGTTGTTTAAAATAAAATGTTAATATAGATAGAACAGTTTCTCAGAATGCACTTTTTAAAATGTTCAACACATTCACAAGGCTTTTCTTAAGGAACTTAGTTAAGCAACACTTGCGCGGTGTAATACGAACAAAAATATTCAATTTTTGATCCTAATTCATTCCTTTATTCATTCATGAATT